ATAAAATAACTTGTAAATAGTAAAATATTTCCATTTTAATATATTATTCAACACAATCAAATATACTATATTTACATTACACTAAAATGAAATTCAAATGTTTATATTTTACTATTTAAATATACATATTTAAAACGAAAATAATAATCAATTATATTATTATTTAAGTAATTCAATAATCAAACTCAAATGTAAATTATAATCAAAATTTTCTTAAATAACATAATTAATGATAAGATATAAAATAAATTTAGACTCAATTTGTTATATATATTTTCCAACAGATGGCAGCACCTATCATAAAATTTTATAAAATAAATTAATTTTTCTAAATTTAATCTATGTTTTTAAAATAAAATTATTATTAATTTTTTTTTAAATTATGTCAAAATAATTTTTTTTCTATTAATTTTATAAAAATAATTAGTATTAAAATTTAAATTTCTTATTATCAAATAGAGAAGAACCCTTTACTTGAAATAATTGAAAATTCAATTAGTATCTTTATTCAATGATATTCTATGCCTGGTCAAATAATTTTATTTGACTAGGCATAAAATTTACAATTTAAATTTTATATAGGCTTATATTAAATCTTAGAAATATATATTTAAATTTACGAAGAGAATGTACAATTATTACTTATCACTATAAAAACAATGTTATCTTCCTTAAAAATAATACTTTAGATACTTGAAAATAATAATAATAATAATTTCTTATTCTTTCCGAAATGAAAATACTTTAAAGCTTATTTAATGTTAAAATATATCCTTATTGTTTTTTATGTATAATTTATTCCTAAGATATAAGCATGTATAATAAATCAATTTAAACTTATTGGTTAAAATATCATTATTATTTTTCAATGTTAAATTTCTTTCAAGTGTTTTCTAAACGTCTTAAATGTCAAAATTATGATAAAAGATTTTAAAATACAGTATATTTTATAGGTTATTACGTATTCTTCTATTATATTCTTCATACAAGTCTTTGTGTTTGCACTTAACAGTGAAAAACACGTTATTAAGTATTGATAAGAAATGTAAAATAAACTCTTTCATAATACATTTGTAAGACTTTTTATAATTTATTATGAAAATCATAATACACTATTACAGGAAAGCTAGGAAATAATTTTTTTTTTAATTATTCTCGAAGGAGGCTTACCGTATTATATTATTGAGTTATAATTCAATTAATTCTCTCTGTAAAAATAAGACATTGTAAATCATTGCTATAAAGTTTGGCCCAAAATTTAGTTAACTTACATATAGTTTATAAACAATTGAAACATCTACGTAATAATTTGTGATTTACTGTAGATGCTTTTATATATAGAGAGTGATCTCCAAAAGTCTCTTAACCAGTTATAAAAGAGTTGGACTTATAAATTCTTCTTAAAGAATTCCTTAAGGTGTAATAGCTAAAGATACGTAACAGCTATTTTGTAGAATTTAAATTTAAACGTTATGAAAAAGAGAGAGGGGAAAAAATCAGTTGGATTATTTTAGCTTTTCTACCTATTCATTATATGATAAAGAAGATTTAAAGAGATTGAATAGAATTCTTTGAAAAGATTAATAAGTGCAGAAATCATGCGATTATGTTTGTTTTTATAAAATATATATATATATATATATATATATATTGATATATACNAACTACATTCAGATCGAAAGCGTTTAAGCAATACTTAAAATCCCACAGAATATTTATCAGCCTTTAACAACTCAGAAAGTGTAATTTACTGGTTTACCACATCGTAAATTAAACTATATGCGATGGTCTTTTTTATTGGAATGTTAATGCGAACACCGACATCTGCTGCGAAGTGATGGGCTTCGGGCACTTAAATCTCACCAATTTAACTTCACTAAAAAGACTACATTAAAAAAATCCCCACCTTTTTTATTTTTTTATTAAGTTTAGACAGTAATAGCTTCGTGTGAAATATGCGGCTGTGTGAAATGTTTTCTGCCCAAAATAATGTTTTCTCTTGTAACTTACCCGAATTTATTATTCAACGAATTTATTTTACTCACACACATACACACACACACACAAGACCAAAAAAAAAAACGTTTATGAGATCGCTTCGTCTGTCTGCATTTTTAGATTATATATCCTTAATAATAAATGAACTATTCAGTTTAAAGACTTTTTGAATGTGTTTCTATAATTAATCTGTCTGAATTTATTTCTGTTAATTTCCTTTTTCTTTTTTTAAAAAAAAAGAAAGAAAATCTGTACAAATTTATATTTAATTTTAATCATTATTAAGGCTTTTATGTTTATAAATAACGTTAATGAATGAATTATTTTTTTTTTACATTAAAGATTAATTTAACTCAAAAGTTAAATTAATTTGAGTTGTATTTTTTTATTGAATTATCATATTTTTAATAACCACATCTTTAAGTTTATATCATTAATAATGAACTATTCGATTTAAAGACTTTTTCAATGTGTTTCTATAATTAATTTTCTTAAATTTATTGCTGTTAATTTCCCTTTTCTTAATGAAAATATATGTAAAGCCTTAAATAGTTTATATTCAATTTTAATTACCATTAATTTTAATTATTATTAAGGCCTTTATACTAATTAAAATTAATTACCATTAATTTTAATTATTATTAAGGCCTTTATACTTACAAAATAATACGAATCAATGAATTATTTCTACATTAAAGAAGATTGATTTAACTCCATTAAGCTTTATTATTATTATTTTTTTTTATTGAAAAATATTTGAATTATCATATCAAAGTTTATTCGTAAAGTAAATATTAATTATACAGTATAGTAGTTTAAAAAAAAAGAAAAAAAAAGAGTAACAATAGATTCACTTTGGTTATAAACACCTTTTAAAAAGGGCGTACGCTCTGACGGATCAACTTAGTCCAGGGGATTTAAAAGAAGACAGTTATTGATGACCTCATAGGTCGAAACTAAATCGGTTTCGCAGCATGAGACATTAATTAAGACCAGGTGGTTAAGGGAAAATGCAGGATTAAACAAACTTTATCTCAATACTAAGAAACTGATGTTAAAAATCTATATATAGAAATATATATAAATTTTTTTTTCGATCGTGTGTGTGTTATTCGATCCGATTTAATTTTATGGTTGATTATAATGTTATAACATTAGTAAGATTTTAAATATTTGATTTGATTCCTTTCTATATTTTTCGTATGCGAAAAAGAATGGAATTTCATTTCGATCGTAAGTTGACATAAGAACTTATTTGAATTACGTCTAAGAAACGATGTCAATATACCATATTTAACGTATTGTATAAGCATGTATACATATATACAGTATATATATATATATATATATATATCAGGTTTGCACTTGCGTGAAAGTAATGCGAATGCAGATGTTACACATTATTTAATTAAGTATTTTTGTATTACGGTTATTGGATGCTTACATTTTTCCCCCCTTATTTAAATTTATTTTTCTGTAAATTTGAGTGAATTTTATTGTAAAATACTTCTTAAAAGTGTAAGAAATACATAAAGAATTTAATTAATGATTAAAAAATAAATGGAGTCACGCAGAAAAATAATTTTTTAAGTCACGTCAGTTGTATTGGATTTGTATAAATGGAACAATGTTATGCGAAGTTACAAATTAAAATGTTTTTTAACTAATTTTTTTTTGTTCTTGTGTAATTTTTAAAAAATCGAATGAATTTTTAATTAAAAATACTATACATTTCAATTTATTAGATTAAATGTTTAATTATTTAATAAAAGATAAAATAAAGCAATAAAATGTGCTTAAATTCAAACAGATTTATGCAAGACTCGGGGTTCTCGATATGTAATTTAAAAGTATTATACACTTTAATTTATTAAATTAATTATTTAAGTATCTAAACAGAAAATAAACTTAAATTTGAGAATAAAATAAAGTTAAATAAACCTAAAAAAAACAAACATTTTTTTTCTCACATTTAAGAATGAATCGTTTATCGAATTATTTATTAGAATCGTCAACAGTAAACAATCTTACAATTTAATTTCAAGAAGTTGAACAGACAAATACTTTCACTATTACTGAAAAATGAAGAAGAAAAGATGGAAAAAAAAAATTTACAAATAACTTGACTATGAACATACCATGTGTGTTTAACTTGAGTGACAAAAAAGTCTTGTTTGTAAGAGTAAAATAAAGAATTGGCACCATTGTCAACCAGGTGTTGTCGGTTAAAAGATGTCATCGACAGATGACACAACGACAATTTTTGGCAAAGAACGACAATTGTAAATATTGCTATTCGTTGACACAAGGACGAGCTGGTTTGGATTTGTGACAAGCTAATATTGTTGTAACTTTTTACTAGCAACTATTAGCAGTCTAAGATAAGTAAAATAAATCAGCAAACAATGGAAACAAACACTGATTTAATTGTACATTTAACGTTTTAAAACAATCAAATTTACTTGAGAAAAATTATGAGCTATCTATTAAATAACTCAAAATAAGAATCAAATATATTAAATAAACCAAAATATGAAATAAATATTAATATTTTTTTTATTAAATAACCTTAAATATGAGTCTAATTTTAATTATTTTTTTAATTGAATAACTTAAATAGAATCCTATTAAATTATAATTTTGTAAAGTTATATAGCCTATGTAAATAGATTTTTAATAATAATAATAAGCAATTTAATTTCTCTAATGATTTTAACATTCTAGGGAATTCGGGTTCGATTCCGGGTCGGGTTCTGAGAAATTTTCACAAATGGTTTGACTTGGGCACGTAGGACACCCTCCTTCACCACCTAACCACCCCATTAGAGTGAGAGAGGAGGGAGAGAGATGACATCCCCATTAGAGAAATTTTCACGTCAATCATGAGTCGAAGTAGCCGAACCTATGATTGACATGAACACGAAAAAACATCCTTTTAGAGTTCGTAGAGCGAAAAGAATTTAAAACTTAAATAGATTTTCGTAAAATTCGTTATAACATACATTTACTTCTTCCTAAGTTTGCTTTAGAGATTCATAAATAATTGATTTAACATAGCTTTTACTGTTTCTGTATCTAATCAGCCGATCACTGAAGACGCCATTATCCATTCATTATGTAAATTAGCTGCAAGATTCTCTTCTTTTTTTTTATTAAAAAAAAAACGTGAAAATTAAATAGTAAAATGAATGGATTAAAAACATTTTTAAAACATTTCGCACGTATAATTTTTTTCTAAGTAACATACACGATAAAAATGATATTCTAATTAGCCTATGTCCTCTTTCAAAAGAATGACTCACGTAATATATTTTCGTAAGTATCTCGATCTAACATAACCTGCTATTGGTTTTCCTGTTTGGCATTTTACTAACTATATTTCCTTAATAATATAATACTTAATTTTAGCCTAGTTTATATTATTTCGTAGAAGAAACCAAATTTAAATTTACTTTCCTACCGTTTTAATTCTATTTAATATAAACGAATTGTTAACCACTCGAACAATTTCCAAATTAAAATCAATATGAAATTATTTTGGATTTAATTTGTAATCCTGTCACGTAATAAGCTTATGGTCAAATACTTGTGATATCTCCTTATTAATATTGATGGCACATAAAGTGTTAAAGGCCAAAGTATTCTTTGTTATAGCTATGTTCAAATGTCAAAAATTCGTGCCGGGAAACGAAATTATTTTATTTTTATTCTGATTTCTTTTCTGATTATTAAATATCTAATTTATTTATCTTTTCTAAATTTTTTTTCATTGTTTTTTAAATTATAAAAAATATTATATAAACTGTATTTAAATTTAACAATTTATTCACATTCTTTTGACTCCATTTTAAAAGATATTTTTCTCATTTAATTTTAAATTTCAACACTAGATGTCTCTCTATTAAATCGTTTTGCTAGTTAGTATTTCATTGGTTAAAAGTATGAATTTTAAATATTTAAATATTTAAAAATGATTGTATTTTTTGATAATAATTTGTGTTTAATTTTTAATTATAGATTATCGTATAGACTTACAAACTGGTACAGAAATTATGAATTTGAGTTAAAAATTATGAAATTAATTATTTAAAAGAAAAAAAATGTATTAATATATTCGAGTACAAAAAAATAAAATAATTAAATATTTATGAAATATTTCTTTTTAAAATTTCGTGAGGATAAAGTGTATTTTAGAGGTCATTGATTGTGGTTCTAACCCATTTTGATTTTGTATATTCACATCTGTTCTTCGCATAGAGAAACATATGAATGTTACAATTGTCTTAAAATACTCATCAGTTAAAATGGATGCCTCGACCGTGTTTATCCTTTCTATTCTTATTATTTAAAAAACAAACAAAAATATATATTAAATCGGAACTTCGTGGGTGGTACCCACACGAAGCTTTTTGAATAGAAAAATCACGCCTTAGTACAAAATAAAAAATAAATAAATAAAAATAAAACAAAGTATATTACTAGTCTGGAGATATTTAAAAAAAAAGTACTAATTTATTTTACAATATAATTTAAATATAAAAATTAATATCACTTTTTCTAGTAAATAAATACAATTATGTATTATAATTTATAAGTTATTCGATTATCGTTTACACAAAGTCATAAGAAAACCTTACCAAAAATAGATTTTATGTATAAATTTAAGCTATTTTCAAAAGGAAAGGAAGTTAAAAACACATTAAATTAACATCTACACCCTTCTAACGTTCAGTAGATTAGAAAAATAATAATCTAGCAACATAATAGAATCGGGCGGAGTAGTTTTAATCATAACTAGACTCGAGACAGGTAACAAAACAGGTACAACTCTTTAAGAAAATAAATTTATACTAACTAGATTCAAAACTGACTCGGTAAGTTAAATTCGTGAGGTATTAAAAGGTATAATTTTCTACAAATTAATTTATCAAAGAAAGAGATTCGGTTAGGATAGCATTGTTCCTAATGTAGACAAGTGGGTTGATGAGTCTTCATCAGTATGAGTCATTAGGGATTTATTGATGTAGTTTATCCTTAACAATTTCGATTTAGTTTATAGCCCAGCAACCTATTAAGCAGCAAGTGTAATTTATTACTTTCTCTCCCTTAAAGAGATATTAATGGCTTCAGCATAGTTTCGTTTAATATGTAATTAGTTTATCGTTATTATTTGCTGTGATTGTTCTTAAGAGCGAATATTTTATTTTTCTAATTTTTATTTATTTAAAAATTTTTCCTAGACTTAAATGATTCTAACCTCGCTTTATCAATTCTCACATCTGTTAGTTAAACTTTATTTTTATTTTTTTTTTCGTCTTGCGACTTTGTTTATTTTAGTTGTTATTATTAGAGATTCTAAACTAGTGAACCTTTAAACAGATTGATTTATTTGAATTCTATTTTAGTATATTTTAATTTTATATTAACATAAAAGACATTCCGCGCATCATATAGATATAGTACGTTCTTAAATAAAAATAAACTAATCAAGTTTTAACGGGAGTTAAACTTTTCGTGATTCGTGTAAATCATTAACCCCTAAATTCTTTACTTCCTTAAAAATAATCTTGCAGAAATACCATCGTTTATAGTTGTTATATCTTGTCATGATTCCCCAGGTCGCATTGTCTATGTGGCCTTTGCACCTGGGTTATAGAACCATAAATATTAAGAATCAAGTTATAATTCTGCAGTCTTAATTCTATTCATTCTTATGACTCTCTCATAAACTTATACCAAGAGATGACTTAATAAAAATATTTTATTTTTAAATTTTTCAGTTGAGCTTGTTATGGATTTAATAACTTTATGATTAAATTTTTAAAATAAAAATTATTANATTTTTTTTTTTTTTTTTCCTTTTGTTTTAAATGTTTAAATTTGATCCACAACACAGAGAAGTCCCAAAATTTAAGTTTGATTTATAAATAAAGTGATATAAATTAAAGTTTCTTTTGATAAGTGGTAAACAAATCTGTTTTTATTGAATTCATTCATATATTTTTATGGCTTTGAGAGTGAAGTAGAATCCATGTTTGTGACTAATCTAAGCATCGTATCACCCTTAAGGATTTTTCTATATAAGTAGAGAAAAATCTGTTTTGTTTTATTGACTTTACTCATATATTTTTATAGTTTTTGGAATGGAATGAGGCCTTAAATTTGTGACTTTATATGAGTACTATCTTGATGGAACCCAGATTATTCACAAATTTGAGCCTTAATAAATGTACAAGATTAAGTATAAAATTTTAATTGATCTTTTATTTTATTTTATTTATTTTTTTTTTCATTTAAACACTCGGAAAACGAAGAGAGAAAAACATATTTGTGATTTTTTTCCCTCTCTTTTAAAATATAAGAGAAATTGTTTACAAGATTACTTTATAAAGTAGATTAGGATTTTTCTGTTAAATCTTTTCTCAATTGAGACATTTTTTTTTAATTCATGAAACATAATCTAAGGATCGAAACGAAGGTGGCTTAATCGATTGAAACAGAGCATCACTCTCTAAATGTATTGTCTTGTAAAACCTTACTTATTGTCCTTTTTTTTCATAGCTTTTTTTTAAATTTTTAATTAAAACTATCGACAGAATTGTTATTTATTTTTATACATTTTAAATTTTATTCATTATTGAATTAAATCTATATTTATTTTGTAAATAAATAAATCTGTAACTTATTATATACACGGCCCTAAATTTAATATATAAAGCTTACATTTTTTTTTGTGATAAGAGGCCCTTTCTTTCGCAACAAATAACAAAGCGTGAAGGCCTAAGTTATAATCTCACGGCGTGAGGCCTTTGAGTTATGGTTTGTTTATATTAAATCAGGTGTAAATTATATACATTAAAATATAAAAATGTTAATTAAATAAATTAAGTAAATAAATGATAATAATATAGGCCTATAAGTATATTAATTAGAAATTTTTTTGATTATAAATAAGGTTATTTATACTGTATAAAGATAAAATAAAAATTATATTAAAAATATTTTTTCTTCAAGATTAATTATAAAAGAACATTAAAATTTGATATGTTTAATGTTTATAAATTAGTAAAAAAAAATTATTTAAAAAAAACAGAATAATATTAAATTATATTTAAATTAAAACATTAAACTACAATTAAAAAAAAGGGGGAAAATGTATAATATCAACCAATTAAATCAAATCATCTATAATTATTTTAATAGAATTTTATGATTCATTTAATTCAAATTAAAAAATAACCATCTCTTAAAATTAATTTTAAATATTATCTCAATTTTCTTATTATTATTATTTTTTTTTATCTTACTAAAAATGTATTTCTATTAACTTTAAAAAGTTACATAAATATTTTTAGTCAAACTGTATCGATACTAAGTTATATAATGAACGACATGATTAAATCTATA